TTTTACATATTCCCTGTATAGACGCTTTATCATAAATTCTAGATCATAAGAATCTTGAGCTAGGACAAATTGGTCATCCGGAAAGTTCAGGGAGAACAGTACGTCATTTCCTATGGGAATTCCCATTCCCTGGCAGTGGTTTTTCTAATTTTGGAGGGCTGCCTCAATATATAAATTGAACAGTAAGGGTGACATACTGCATCCGTGTTTTAGTCCTTGCTTTTATTGGCTCTGATAGTCTATTTTCGATTTTTAGGAAAGTAGTGTTATCCCTGTATACTTCTGTGATTATTCCTAAAAGGTATGGACTAATGTCGAGTTGTTGTAAAGCTTGCCACAATTTAAGTCTTAGAACAGTATCATATGCCTTTTCTAAGTCAATGATGGCTAGATGTAATTCGGTACCAACCGCTATTCTTTTTTTCTATTAATTGTTGAAGTACAAACAAGTTATCAGTGCAAGATCAAAGATTCAAACGTCAATAAACTTATTTTAACCTTCAATTGCGGCTTATTCCCATTAAAATAGTAATTAGATCTTATCTTTGTCGTTGGCCCGGTTGGTGTTTCTCTTCTTCTTCTTTTTTAATGACTGCTCGGATGTAATTGTAAACACTATTCCTACCCTCCGTACTTCCTGTCTCTGACAGTCACATTGTTCATTTCATATCTATTTCTTGATACATTCTGTTTCTCTCCACTGTACACCTATTACACCCCAGCATTTTGTGAGTAACAATGTCGGAATATTCGCATTTATCTGTATCTGCCTTTCTGAACCTATGATGATACGCTCTAAAACAGACAATCTACCTAGTATGTTCGGCGTCAACGGCAACACCAATATTAGCGCGAATCCCTTTGAAGTGTACGCAAAAACCGACACTCCAAGGAAAACTCCCAACGTTGGAGCAAGTCAAAAAAACGTTGACGTCAACGTTGGCCCAACACAGTTTTGTCGGTACACACATTAGACGAACGTTGTTGGGACCAACGTTGGTTCCCAAGTGTGGAGCCGGCGTCACCGAACGAACACAGTTCACATTTGCTTCAACGTTGGCGCCAACGTTGGATCCCATGTGTGGAGTCTGTCTACGTTTTAAGTAGATTGTTGTGATATGTGAGACTGATTACAAATTATTATAATTATAATAAAAAAAAACTTTTTAGAGATTAAAAAGCATTTGTCTGCATCAATGTTATGTGATAAAACCCATAAAAATTCTTATATTTATTAGAAAATTTTTGTTTTTGTCTATTAATAATGTTTTATTATGAATTCTCTGTGTGTTATATGAATGTAAAAAAAACATTTTATTTTTATATCGCCGACCCTGAAAATTTAGCGCCACGAACGGTGGCCAAGGCTTTTTCGTTTCATCTCTTTCTCTCTCTCTCACCATCAAACTTAGGGCTACGCCATAACCACATGGTGCTCAATTCTAACGTCTACAACGTTACAAACACAAACATGTCTTTACTTTCTTGTCACATAAAATATGACGTTTACCTTTGCCTGAAATTGAAAATACCTTATTATAGCTGTAATGAAGTACTTAACATATAAATACCTGAGAGATGGTTAAGACCTATAGAAAGTCCGTCCAAAACCGGTGATAAAGTATCTGAAAAGTTACACCATGCTTTTGATCGAGTATGACCTGCATTAACTCAAGTCTCATCCAAATAATATACTGTTCTCTTGTCGTTCCTCACCTATTCTCCTCCTGTAATTGTGTACTCCTCAATTTTTTTAAATTCCCTCCTCCATATCGTTATGTCATCTCTCTGTAATAAAATGCCATTTGTGCAAGTTTTGTAAATTTTAATTTTAATTGTTCAATAATTTATAAAAACTTGTACTTTTGAAACTTGGCAGGACTAGGTAATCTTTACTTCATTGGGTTCAAATTTATGTTTACTGTGGGAATTTCATTTTTGATGGAAAAGAACTGATGTATGCTTAATAGCCTCCCTGGTAAAATAGTCAACATCGTCTAGTTTGCTCTTGCGATTTTGATTTGTTTTTGGAGTAGTTAGATTGTGAGTAGTTTTATACTCCTTTATTACTTTAAATACGCTAGAAAAAACACCAACCTTGTTTCCTATTTTTTTTTATATCTTTTAATGTTCTCGTTGGAACGTTTAATATTCCTTTAGTTTCCACACTTATCTGATTTTGTTTCTGGAAGAACACAAAGGAATATCAAAATTATTTAAGGAATTATGAAGATGTAAAGGAAAGAAACGTTATTAGGGATTTACTTTTTCCACTTGTAACACTGAATACAATAAAATATTATCGTTTTGAAGTGACCATCTAACAAATCTAATGTAAATTTGAAACACACAGAAAAATAAATTAACAAGCAATGCTCAAATAATACTGAATGACGGTTTCACTGTCGTTATTTATATAAATAATTTTTAATGAGTAATAAGAAAATTAATTTTAAGTCAACTTACAAAGATTACGAAATGGATCTTGAAATGAATTGTTTTTTGTTATTAATTCTTATATTTATCAAAATGAACAAAAATATACTTACCTATACAATAAAACAAAAACAGAATGAAAAAGGTACAATAACAGAGTTTTAAGTCTAACTCAACACTATTAACAATAATTTTAAGTCAACTTAAAAAGATTACGAAATGGATCTTGAAATGAATTGTTTTTTGTTATTATGGGCTATTACACGTATTCTTATATTTATCAAAATGAACAAAAATATACTTACCTATAAAATAAAACAAAATACAAAATGAAAAAGGTACAATAACAGAGTTTTAAGTGTAACAACACTATTAACAATATTATCCATACAGTTTGTTTAAATTAATACTATCAATCAGAAAATAAAATGAACAGTACAAAACCAATCATTCAGTTTAACACTGGTAAAGCGGCAAAACTTGACCACTTAATTTCTAACCAATGACAAACTGCGACGACACGACACACCCACCAATCATGCGCCTGAAATTGTTTACCTCGATCTTAAAATTAAACGATCCATAGGAAATGTTATTGGCGGTTGTTCAATCACAAATTAACCCCTTAATTTGTAATCTCACATTATTCTTAACTTCTTAATCTTTTATAGTTTCACCGTGTATAAGTTTGCATTATATATATTGCAAAACCATATCGTATGATAATTTAATATTAAATAAATTGCCGAATAATAATATTTTCTAATTGAACTTCCTAAGTGTCGCAATTAAGGCGTAGATTAAATTGTATTATAAGCAAAAGCTAGGTGGTGTGATATGAACGAAGCAATGACCTAAGGTGCTTATGTATATATTATGTGTGAGATTATAAATTGGGGATTTGAGTTCAAATGAACACAGTCAATATTGAGTAGTTACCGAACGAACACCATATTGTGTAATTACGAGTTGCTGTCAATAAATCATCACTTTTACTCCGCAACTTCAACCTTTTATTATACCTATCAGCATCGATCGACGAGAATCGGACAAAGGGGCATTACGAACCGAACCGAACTTCAATACTAAGTTCGATATTTTTCCATTGGTCCTTCGAGCCGGATCCTAGAAAAAGAAAAGGTGGTGTTGTGCGCTCGTTGTTGGTCCCAAGGAATCTACGTGCAGTAGATTACAATAACTTACACTAATAATTTTAAGTGTCATATGAAAATAAAGGAGGGTAGTCAGATATTTTCGAAACTCCAAGATAGCCACAAAACGAAGACATACTTCATCACAACCAAATTTAAATAGTACTTTAAAGAAAGCCCCTCCTAGATCAGTTTCACTTAGTGAGCTTAGATTTGAATTAGATAGTTTAGCTGAAACATAATTTCTAAATAATCAAATTATAGGTAGCACTGCTCAGGTGAGATAATAATTCAAAAACCGAGTGAATTAGTGTTATGATTATTGTTATTATTATTTTATATTTTATATGTGTTTAAATATTTTCTATTGGTCGTCTGTTTGTTTTTTATATAGTGGCCAATATGTTCAATCACAAATTAACCCCTTAATTTGTAATCTCACATTATTCTTAACTTCTTAATCTTTTATAGTTTCACCGTGTATAAGTTTGCATTATATATCTATATATATATATATATATATATATATATATATATATATAATATATATATATATATATATATTGCAAAACCATATCGTATGATAATTTAATATTAGTTCATTTACCTACAACTAAATAAATTGCCGAATAAAAATATTTTCTAATTGAACTTCCTAAGTGTCGCAATTAAGACGTAGATTAAATTGTATTATAAGCAAAAGCTAGGTGGTGTGATATGAACGAAGCAATGACCTAAGGTGCTTATGTATCTATTATGTGTGAGATTATAAATTGGGGATTTGAGTTCAAATGAACACAGTCAATATTGAGTAGTTAACGAACGAACACCATATTGTGTAATTACGAGTTGCTGTCAATAAATCATCACTTTTACTCCGCAACTTCAACCTTCTATTAAAGCTATCAGCATCGATCGACGAGAATCGAACAAAGGGGCATTACGAACCGAACCGAACTTCAATACTAAGTTCGATATTTTTCCACGGTAAACGTATTTTGATTATCGTATCATATTTTGATTTCTGGCAGATTCTAAATTCCTAACTGTATATACCGTGCTATATATGGTAAATCGTATCAACTATTTTGGATGGAGAAACATGTCCTTGAACTATCACCATTGTTATTTGTTAATCAATACAGAAGTTAGTGTCTTAGTATCCTTTCAGTATGATACAATCTTCGATATTTCCCCCTCATATACAACAGGTCATCTGTCGTTTCATTTGATATATCATAAGTTCTGATTTAATCAATATAAGAAGAATTCAATATTTACTTCAACAAAATAGAAAGGAAGAGTAATTTTTTATCATGAAATATTTTTATTGTACTAATACGCAGTCCACATGAAGATACCGATTGACTGACAGCTTAATATTTTAACAAATATGTAAATATATATACTTACTTTTAGTGATGGTTGAAAAATAAGTCCGTCTGGCTCGTGAGACAATGTTCTAGCGAACTTTTCTCCCAGCAAATTACCAGCTTGGCTGATGTCCCAAAAGTCCTTTTTTCGCACGCTAAACGGCTCTTTGTTCTTGATGATAATACCTTTTTCCATTGCCATATAACGTGGTTTTATTATGTCATTTTCGATACATTGTAGTCTCTCCGGATAGAAACGTAATTGCCCAACTTCATTATTTTCGAATACGATTACATCGTACACCAGATACCTCGGGATACTTTGACCGTTAACTTTGTCTATGACCATTTCCTAAGACATCAATAAAGCTATATTAAAGTAAATAACACAAGGTTCAAAATCATGAAAACAATTATTGAGAAGGGAAAAGAAGTGAAAAAAGAAAAGAGAAAGAGAGAAGAAGAAAACCTATTTAATAAGGTTTGAAATGAGACTATACTAGGTAGGTAAAAATAAAAAGGAAGAAAACTTGGATCCGATTAAAATATGTAAAAGGAAGATAGACGTATTTTCTACGACAAAAGATATGGATATCTGCGACATTACCAAGGTAAGTATCAGAGCGGACAACTGCAAGTATAAAAATTATTTACACAAAATGACAAAAAGGCAAAAACAGAAAAAAAACTTTTGGAAACAATAAGGAACAAATTTGCAGGACCAAATAGAGAAAAATAAAATGAAAACGAGGAAAAGAGGAAGAAGAGGACAATGAGAAAGAAGCAAAAGACTGATGCGTAGAAGTTAAGGCAAAAGAAAAATTTGAAAAATTAAAAGAACAATAATTCTGTTGAAGCATTAATTTTCTGGTGGAGTATTAAATATAAAAATAAATAAAGACATTTACCCCGTCTAATAAGGTATTGTTCAGATGACGATAAAGATCATTTCTATATACAAATCTTATGCCTTCCACTTTAAAAACTTCATTATCTCTGTCAAAAAAGTACACTTCGTTTTCACCGTTTATAAGCATCATATACCTCATGCCGTCTGCTTTCCAGGAAACTCTAAAATGTTAAGCGAAAAATTTTATTTAGAAATTTTATATACAAAAATATTCAAGCAGAATTATTCATAACAATAAAATATGGTTAGGGTTTTTTTAATGCCATAAACATTAGTCATTCAGCCAGTTGCAATAGATTCTCTAACCAGACAAATGCATAATCCTCTCCCTAATACAAAGTTAACGGAAAATTAAGGATAAGGAAATGGGATCACTTGCTTCTCGTCTAGAGGCTCATAAAGACATTTTTACTAGACAAACAAAACTGGATAGGGGATAAAGTGTTAACATTTAGGGATAACATTTAGGATAAGCGAAGGATGCAAATCTAAACTTGCAATCCACACGATCATGAAAAGTTTCATGCTCGCGTACAAATCTTATAGAACTGTGCATGTGTCTGACATGAAATCTATAAAAATATTGTAAATTTTTGTAAGTCTGTAGCCAGCAGAGACTGGATGTTGAATGGTGCATACATATTAAATTTTTATTAAATTTTTGTAGAAAGTTTGAGTGCTGTTGAAACTTGGGGCATTTAAAAAAGATGTGATCAAGATCACCCAGTTTACCGCAATGTTTGCAATTATCGTTTCAATCACATTTATTTTGGATAAATCACTTAGATAACACACATGTCCAAAGCGTAGTCAATTATAGTGGTTAAATATTTTCGTGGAGCTTTAAAACTCTTAAACCAAGTAGTTTGTGGAATAACTGGATGTAAAGTGGTATATCCTGTATGGTTTGCGAGGCAGTAAAAATTATATTGATCTTTCACCTCAAAGGGAGGAAGTAGAATAGAAGAATTGTTTTTCTCTTTTGTTGAAAATATTTCTACCTTCTGTCATATCTCGATGTCATATGTAACAAGGTTATGTTTATATTTACACCTCATGCAATAACATGGAACCACCAGTTGGAACAAAGATTTCAAAAAATTAAAAAATACAATCAGCTGGGAAATGAAAATCTTCCTGTTCGGAAGTGTATGTCGGTCAAACCAGCCAGAAACTATCAAAAATAATAGCTTTGCACAAGAATGATGTTGTGAGGAAGCCTACAAGTACAGCTTTTAGCCAACATATTAAGAATACTGGACACATTGCCAACTATGACAAAGTGGAAGTACTAAATAAGTTTGAAAACCAATTCAAGGGACATTTCATAGAAATGTGCTACATCCATATGTTTTCTCCAAATTTTTGTTCCAACTGGTGGCCATGTTATTGCATGAGGTGTAAATATAAACATAACCTTCTTACATATGACATCGAAATATTGACAGAAGGTAGCAAGATTTTCAACAAAACAAAAGAAGAATTCTTCTATTCTACTTCCTCCCATTGAGGCGCCTTTAACATGCAGTTGTTGTTTTGGTTGTTTTTTAGATGTTTTTGTCTTTCAACGGTTCGCGCTCAGAGTTGCCATCTACTTTGACGACGAGATACGAAAACGATTTACTAAAATAGTTCTCTGTTCTTCTAGGCTATCGAAGATATAATGTGCAAACGATTAGAACCTTCAGTAAAAGCTCTTGCTGAATGTACACATTGTTTGCAATTTTGTCTTACTTATGGATATTTTATAACAGTAGATATTTTTAACGTTTCTAATTAAGTTTATCCATAAATTAATTACGAACAAAAAAATATGGATTTTAATGTAACTTTTACGCTTTAATGTTTCAACTATATAGATATTTTAATATTTATAAGATACATCTCGATATCATTTTTAGAGATCCCGATGGGACTAACCTACGGAAACAGAAGAATACAACGGCTTTTATCTTTCTCTATAGAATTTTTTTTTTCTGATATCAATTCATAAATAACCTTAAATTTTCTTAAATCTGTAAATATATTAATATGTCTTACCTGTAGGGTTGGGATTTTAGAAGATTAATGTTATTCATATCCATAGAAACTGGCTGACTGCCTGGAAAGCCTTTACGTCCCCACTTACACATCTTTTGCACCATTTTTTGCAGTTCGGTTGCTTTTTCTTCTTGAAAATGAGTAACGTTAGGTACACCTTCCATAAACACGGCTTCCTTTACACGACGCTTTTTAGTTTTTGGTGAAGTATCATCGTTACTGAAAGGTCATAACATAATAACAATAAATACTACACTTTCATATATGAGGTGAGTTTGAGAATAATCTAGACTAAACAGTTGTTTTTCTACACTGTGTCGCTATATAATTTTTGCTAAGCTATGATCGTCGAACTCGTTCGGTACCATTTTCCTCGAGGCGTTTTCTATATAGTAAACTAATATAACCTATAACAATATATCTATTCTACAACTATCACTTATAGTCGTGTATTTGTATTGTGTTTTGTTTATTTTTTTACATATCTCCACTCGCTGTGCTAGTGTAAAAATAAAATTAGTTAAATGAGTAAAACAAAAAAAAAATACTCCAGATGAAAAGCAACAAAACACTAGTACTTGATCCTCTGGTTTTTATCATCTTGGTTTGACAATAAACCCAACAGGAGTTTGGGGTACAGTGTTTCATTATTAGGGTGTATAGAAATGTGTGTCCGCTGTGAAATAACACAACGATTTAGTACACTGCTCTCACGGTAAACAAACATATCCAGTAGTGTAGTGTAGGCGTAGGATCATCGCTAATGAGTCTAATCGTAGCTACTCAAGCAAAACGTCTTTATAGGAAATAGTGCCCTACGATTATCTTTGAACGATCAGCGATAATAGTGACAGCGATCCCAAGAAAACACGATCAAGAACAGAACTGTTTCCGTCTCCTACCATTGCCCATAATGTAGCATCCTAAACAATTTTTAAACTGTTTGTCTTTTGTAAGACTTTTGTCTAGTGTTCGTTATTTGTATAAAGGTACTTAAATGTCTATGACATTCGTTAATGACCTGGAGACCTGGCAAGATTTAATAAAAGAACTGTGCTCGATATCTGCCTTTTATTTGTAAAATTCATATATTCGACCATGCAACGTATCTTATTTTAAATGCAAATAAGGCACCACATGTTCCTCCAAACATTCCCTAATGTACCAGTATAAGACCACCTCCCCCTAACATAACATGATTTGTATGTGCTTCCAAAGAAATGCCGCCCAATACAATTACATCTCCACCACCAAACTTTACTCTAGGAGAGAAGCAGCATTGGGCGTAGCATTTTTAAGGCCTTCTCCACACTCTTTAACGACTATCAGGTGAATATCTCGTAAAAAGAAAAGTGAACGTCTCTCCCATCATCCATGTATCAATCTACAAGAGCATAAAATAATTCTTCTATATACCGAATGGAACGCTCATCATGATGTAGAGCAACAGCTTGCGCTACTTGATCTGGTCTAATTGTAAATTATTCCTTTTTATTAAAAACACTTTTCTTTCCCGGAAAAGCAGCCAAGAATACTTCTTCTTTACGTGCCGTCTCCCAATCGGAGGTTGGATATCATCATCACTATCTTTCCTTTATCTACTGCTGCTCTAAAGAGTTCTATAGAACTGTATTTAAACCAGTCCCTTAAATTCTTCAACCATGACACTCTCCTTCTTCCTATACTCCTTCCTCCTCTTATCTTTCCCTGTATTATCAGCCTTAGCAGTTCACATCGCTGTCCCCTCATTACGTGTCCCAGATATTGTAACTTTCTTATTTTTATTATGTTTATTATTTCGCATTCTTTGCCAATTTCTCGCAATACTTCCGTGTTAGTTTTCTTCTGTGTCCATGCTATTCTAAGCATCCTCCTGTAACACCACATTTCAAAGGATTGTAACTTATTTATGTGTTCTTACTTCAATGTCCAGCTTTCAAGTCCATATTGCAGTATCGAAAACATGTAGCATCTCAGTGCTCTTACTCTCAGTTCTAATCTATGGTCTTTGTTGCAGAGAATTGTTTTCGTTTTTACAAATGTATTTCTATGCTGGCTCTTATTTCGGTTGTTTGATCATTATTGTCTGAAATCCAGGTTCCTAGGTATTTGTATTTATCAACCCTTTCTATCGGTACATTTCCCAAATGTATGTTTGTTGGTATATTTGTCTTCTTTGTTATTATCATGTATTTGGTCTTTTTTATGTTCATTTTTAGTCTATATTTTTCACAGAAACTGTTTGTTTCGTTTAGCAGTAATTTGTGTTGTTTAGCAGAGCTTGCCATAATCAAGGTGTCATCTGCATATCTTATGTTGTTAATAGATCTTCCGTTAATTATTATTCCTACACTTTAAGATAGTAATGCTTCGTCAAAAATGGCTTCACTATATACATTAAATAGTAATGGGGACATAATACATCCCTGCCTAACTCCTCTCCTGATCTTAATGTCTGAACTTGGTTCGTTATGTATTACGATTTGTGCTCTTTGATTCCAGTAAAGGTTTGTTATTATTCGTAAGTCTATGGTCTATGATTTTTGTCTTTAGAATTTGGACTAATTATTCATCTCTTACTTTACTCAACGTAACAAACATGCACATCAACATTCATATCCATGCATCTTTGAGCTAACACATTAAAAGCAAATATCGCTTCTCTGGTTCCTAGTCCGTTTCTGAACCCAAACTGACTATCATCTATTCCTTCTTCCAGCTTTTTATTTATACGACCATGTATTATTTTCTGGAATAATTTGAGAATGTGACTTATTAGTGATATTGTTCTCTATTCACTGCAATATTTAGCGTTTGTATTTTTAGGGATAGCACAAAAGGTGGAGAGTAACTATTGTTTCGGTATGTGACCTGATTTGTATACTGAGTTAAATAAGTCTACTATAATGTCTAAGGTTTCATCATTTATGCATTTTAAGATTTCTATAGGGATTTTAATTTCCTCTTTTAATATCTTTAAAACCATATCCTGTTCTACTTTTATCTCCATCTGTTCTGTTCTATTGTCTTTGAATAGTTCATTGATGTATTCTGTCCATCTGTTTAATTTGTCGGTAGTATTCAACACAAGTTTTCCATTTGATTATTTCAGTATTCCCGGTTTTCTTGTTCTATTGTTGTGAGTTAATTCTTTAATTTTTTATATATGTTAAAACTATCATGTCTTGTCTAGTATTCTTCTATTTCTGCGCATTGTTCTTTTAGCCATTGTTCTTTCGCTTTCTTACTTGATTATCTGTTTGTGATTGTGTATCTATTTATAATCTGATTATCTTTGTTCTTATATTGACGCCTTTCTTCCATTAAATCTAAAATTTCTTCCGTCATCCATTGCTTCTTTTTATATCTGGTTTGTATTAGAATTTCTTTCTGACTTTTATCTATTTCTGTCTTTATTAATAACCATTTTTACTCCGTCTCAGTATTTTGCAGAATTTGTTCTTTAACATTCATTAATCCGTTGTTGATTTCATCTGCCAGGCGTTGCCTTATGAGTGGGTTCCTTAATTTACTTGTATCGATTTTTGTATTTGTTGTTCTTCGCCTTATTATTTTGATTTTGAGCCTAATTTTGGTCACTACTGGGTTGTGATCCGATCCTGTCAGTACTTGGATAGGTTTTTGTGGATATAATTGCGTTCCTGTATCTTTGTCTAACTAATACATAGTCTATTTGGTTTCTTACAATTCTCTCTTCTTGATCTGCTGGTGACTTCCAGGTCTTCTCTTTGGCATTTTGAACAATGTATTAGCTATAACAAAATTATTGTTTTGGCAACATTCGATAAGCCTATCACCTATTTTGTTTCTGTTCAGACCATATCCTCCTGTGCATTCTTCTACTTTTTCTTCCCCAACCTTTGCGTTAAAGTCTCATATTATAATTGTTTTTTAAAATGTCTAGGTCTTCGTAGAAAGTTTCAATATCGCTCTCTAGTTTGTCTACAGTTGGAGCATAAACTTGTAGGATGTTTATTTTGGGTTTGTTCTGGTTTAATTGTAAGAGTATAATTCTGTTGGAGTATGGAGTGAAATTTATTAAAGCTTCATCAATGTTTTTGTTTAAATATTATACCGACACAATATCTGAATGAACCGCCTTGACTTCCTGAATACACCAAGAATACACCAAAACGAATACAATCAATTTAACAAGCATTATCTCATAAGTAAATATGCGACTTATCCAAAATACATTCACAAAAATGACAAGCGGACTCAAAAATGACAAGCTTTTAAAAAACGAATAGATACAGCCACTTATATTTTGATAAATATATTTTATTATTATACAGGACAATTCAACACAACTAAAGGGAAGTGTAGAATAATACATGCTCATTCGACGTCACGCGTCGTTGCTAGAAATATCTGGTCTGATAGAAGCCATCGAAATATTCGCTGTTTGCCTTAACAATAACTGGTTCAATTAAATCGTCATAGATAATGTTTCACATATTCACTTCTTCGTTAGTTAATATCGTCTATTTTTAAAGTAGTATTTTCAGATAGTAAAAGTAGCAAAATTAATTCTCACTCAATCTCTCTCAATCAGATTAAGCTCACAATGGTAACAGAAAGTCGAAGTAACGATATAACGCTAAGCTTTAAACTACTATTTTGTCTATAACATACTTTTTAAATAATTATTGTACCATTTAGCAATATTAAAGCTCATATCTTATAGGACCTTAAGGTCAGTTTATATTTTTGGAAGTAGGTCACTGCAAGAGGTCTATTTTACATTAACTACTTGTTGGCAACGATTCTTGTAATCTAGAATAATAACTTGCCTACTGTGTTTAGATAATATATTGGTCCATTTTATTCGTTGGCTATTAATTTTTCGTAAATAGTTTCTTTTCTAAAAATTGTTTGTCCACCAAGAAATATTTTCTGTTGTGTTTCTCATATTTGAAACCAACTTCTTCCAAAAGTTTTAATGATACCATTCGAGAGAATTTTATACAGTCCTTGACTTATTTAACAAATGTCATCATTTTATCAAGCGTTACAATCTTGTTCTCTAAGTATAAAGCGTGTAGATCTTAGCCATTGTTTTATTGACTAAACGATGTGAATTTGTCGTCAGTGTAGATAACTTTTAGGGATTAAACGGATACTTAGAGAACAAGATTACAATCTTGTTCTCTAAGTATAAAGCGTGTAGATCTTAGCCATTGTTTTATTGACTAAACGATGTGAATTTGTCGTCAGTGTAGATAACTTTTAGGGATTAAACGGGTTCATCTGTCATAGCATTAGTTATTTCCACAATATACTTCGCCCTCCTGTACTCCTCCATAGATATGTCGGAGGATTTTACGCTCAAAGCATCTTAAACGTTCTTCACCGCTCTTTGTCATCGTCCATGTTTCCGACGCGTATGTGAGGATGGGCTTGATAAGAGTTCTGTATATCACTAGTTTCGTTATTTTTGTAACTAGGCTTGTTGTTAAAAATTTTTTTAATCCACAATAGGCTCTATTTGCCAGATATATCCGTCTGTTAATTTCTGCACTTACTGCATTATTCTGATTAATTTGTGAGCCTAGGTATATAAACTCTCTTACTCATTTGAAAGTATCTGTTCCGATCGTTAGATCTTCGGGTTGTGCTGCTTGTATATAATTTGATACTTTCATATACTACGTCTTACTAGTGTTAATCTCTAGTCCCATTTTTTTGTTGGTGCTTCAAGCGCATTGAATGATTCGACCACGTCCGCCTTTCTTCTTGCAATAATGTCGATGTCATCGGCGTACGCTAGTAATTGTACGCTGCGATTAATAATAGTTCCTCTGGTTGCTATTCCAGATTCTCTTATCGCTTTCTCTAGTGAAATATTAAATACTATTTAATTTCTATTAGAAGGCATGATAGGCTGTCTACTTGTCTAAGTCTAACTTTAGAAATTTCATTTTCATTTTCGTATGAGCGCAGAAAGTTCTGCGCTCATACGAAAATAGATGGAATACTAGTCTATGTTGAGGTCAAACAAGTGTCTGAAAAATATTCACAAGTGTTTTACAAGGCGCCCCCAGTAAAAGAATAATAGTCGTTGAGAGATTTTGTAACACTGGTAGTGTGGTGTGTCAGCACAAGGGCTCTTCCGGTCGTCTAAGAACAATTATTACCAACAAGAATTAAGGACGCATTCTCAATCAGGTCTTGCAGTCTCCAAACGAAGACTTCGACGTACTGCGCATAAAGTAAATAGCAGTTAATCATCCACACGTCGACTGTTCAACGCTTTTGGTGATTATTCTTACTGCATTCAAATGGGACTAAAACTGCTAAAACTAAACGTTTTTAAAGATCGAAAACGAAGATCCCGATTTCTTGAGAAATATATGATTCTCGGACGAAACATTTACTTTTACGATTACATCAATCGACAAACAACTGATTTCGTGTGTTTGAACACCCATATGACATTGTAGAGAAACCACTCTAAAGTGAACGAGTTACCATTTGGTGTGCTGTGTCTTGATATGGGATTATTGTCTTTATTTTCTTGAAGGTGCGAACGAACATCCAGTTAATGTTAACCAACAACGTTCCAGAGAGAACATTATTACACCTTTTGTTCGAGATTTATGCGAACGAGCATAAGCATTAACCAACAGCGTTACAGAGAAAACATTATAACACCTTTTGGTAGAGACTAACGAAATTTTTGGCGAGCAAGAAATCTGAAATTTTGAAAACAGAATAATTTCTCATGAAACACACTTTGAGTAATCAGCTCAATCACCTCATCAAAGAACAACTGATGCATATATTTAGGGTACGCTGAAAGAATCAGTATTTAAATAAGAAGTTTCGCCAGTAATATTGGAGTACTACGACAAAAGATAATAACTAATTTTCAACAACGGCACAAACCACTCTTTATAATATGTTGGATGATCTGCAAAATCGTTATAAAGTTTATTTGCGACACAATCGTACACATTTTGAGCATGTGAAATAAAAATAAATAAAACGTTGACTTTCGGTACTATTCACTTTGGCGAATACTGTATTAAACATTAAATATCCACATTTTGGTACGGCTATGCACAAGGAAAAATCGTTACATTTGTCTAATTACTTACTTTGAAGAAGTTGAAGCTACTCGTTTTCTTGTATCTTCCGTAACATCATCGAAATCGTCAAGGCCATTCCCTTGTCCATCGTCAGTTTCTGTACACCAATCAGGAAGAGATGGTGGAGGTGGAGCATCACTGACGTCATCATATCTATTATATAATTCTTGTATATAGTCGCCTTTATAGATGCCTACAGGTCTAGTGGATAATAACAATTATTATTAATAAATCATAATATTCTTTACTGTTATACAGCTAAAGACAGGAAACGTAAAGATAAATATGAATATTATAAACCATATACTCTGATCTTGCAATGTAAGTAGGGTAACTCTGATCATAGGCGTACTGATTTTGCTTAAACATTTAATATTATAATTACTTATTATTTAATTTTGTAGTGTTTGAGGTCTTAGTTTGAGGTCTTAGTCCCATCTAGACCACAATGCGACCTGAAAGATCTTCTGTATATTTCCTACATGTTCAGTTAGACAGATATCAGTCCGACAGATACAGGCTTCTAGGAAGAAAGAAATAAATCATATTATCGGAGATACCTTTGTTATCTGGACAGGTTCTAAAAAGACCTGTTCCAGGTATTTATCGTATTTATAAGTAATTGTCCCGCAGTTGCAGACAATATTTTCGGCAGATTCCTCTACATTTTCGTAGAATATGCATGTTGTTCTATCCACTTTGTCAATTTGACAGAGATGATATCTGAGTGAGCAGTTTCCAGTGAGAATACCTGTGATTACTCTACAAGTTTTGTTCGATAAAAAGAGTATTAGCTCCTTGTTTAGCAACACTGTCAGCAGTCTCATTATCAACCACTCCTTTATGCCCTGATACCCACAAAAAAGTTAATTTTTTGGTACTTCACGGTCTTTTTAAGGGTCTGCCTACAGTTTATAACCTCTAAGAGACTCATAATATGTAGACTTCATAGTATTCAGTGCAGTTTGGCTATCTGAAGCAGTAAAATAAGGTGGGTACAGTGAAACAAGGGGCACAGTGAAACGTTTCAAAGTTCGCGGAAATTAATCATTAAAATTAAAATTTAAAATTATTGTAAACAACTTAGTAGGACAACACTGGCCTGTGTATAACATTCGTTTAGTTTAATCATTTAGTGACTGATAGTAGATGGTGTTGAGTTTTTAGGTAAATAAAGTAATCGCCATATTATTCTTGTTATTGAGTATGATGATTGTCGAATAGAAATGCATGTTAACACGTGGGTTTGATAATGACAAATGATTTTATTTTATAGCTTAGGAAAAGCAGCAGACAAATTTACATTATTTAGGTGAGTAATAATTTATATTATAGATATAATTAGTAAGTATAATTTCCGTTTGATAAACGGGAATTATAAAATTCAACACGATATATAGGTGAGTTGGCTTACGAAATGACCATGATAAATGATATAAATGTACCTCCAAGATACAACCTCTCGGCGAAAATGCTTTATCCTTCGTCAAAAATTTGAAAACTAAATACAGTATCAAGCAAGACCAATTATCTCTCATTAAACATTGTATGTCCAACACTTATTTCAGCTTCCAAAATAAATTCGACAGACAAATAAATGGTGCCCAAATGGGCTCCCCACTATTTCCAATAATTGCCAATATACACATCAATGCTCAAACCCACATGTTGATGATACATTCGTCATTTGGCCCCATAGGAGTAATGCTTTGGTGTCTTTTCAAACCATAGACGTATAAATAAAGATGGACTAGGCATGCCCTGCACTCTGTTCACCTAAATTTGAAGTCGAAAAGTTTATAGGCGCGGGGAAAGAGACGAGGTGATAGACTGTGACATATCCTTTTAAGCCAGCGGCGTACCTTCCAATATTTGAAAGTTATTTGAAACAGTTTTTTCACTTGAATAAATAATGACTATTGGTTTGACTTTTGCTTTTGCTTGCTTTTATTTTTAGTATCGTAAACATATGAAATATTTCGAATAAGTGAGAAACAACAAACAATGAATAATGTTAATTTTCAGTGTATAGAAATATATTTATAAAAATTAATTTACACAAAAGAATAAAGATGGAGTAAATAAAATCGTAAAGTACTTTATATAATATTTTATTTAAACTAAAATATCACACAAGCAATAAAAAGTTTAAAAAATTCTTCCCCAAACATTAACCTGTTCAGGGTATTGAGTATGTTCTGCTCTTATCCAGTGAGTGATAAGTTGAAAAAATATAGTCAAATATGGTGTATAACTCCAGCTTAATTGTTAGGTGGCAACATTAGTATGTCACGTTAGACATAGCAGTAGACAGAAGAAAGATAAAAATTCAGGAATATGTAAAAAAACCATAAACCATTGTTTAACAAAACATATACAACAATATATAAAACACATTAAACCTTACGGAACGGGTAGGGTTCTAAAATAGAAATATGCTTTATTGTCACTGAAAATCATACAATGCTTACAAAAAGTAAAAAAAAAACAACAATGACAATTAAAATTTACTAAAATTACAAAAATCGTCAATATCACAAAATAAAAGATAGTAAAATATACAATTCATTGCAAAATCTAATTGTTGCATAATAAAACCTTACGAAATAGTTTACAAATAACTTTTAGTTGCTGCATGTGATACACAAATAAATATATATATATATATATATATATAATATATATATATATATATATATATATATATATATATATATATATATCTACGGCATAAAGTGAACTCCGCCCATGTTAAAATTCAGGTTCAAATGAGCTCCGTGGTCAAGTGGACACCGATATACGGAGCCCACTTGTCCATTCCATAATATTGGCTCTGTCGATTCGTTAAGATGTATAGTTTCATAATTCTTAAAAAAATTTTGGAGCTCATAAGTACCCCTGTATCATAAATGTATTTCGCTTAGTTCACGTGTATATATTATAGGGGTCGTTCAGATCTTTTTCACTGTACATTGGAACCATAAGTATATCGGTTTAAGTAAGCTCTGATAGTTTGGCAACTATGCAATTAAGCCAGCGTTCTTGATATATACATTTTATATATTTTAAACGGTTCATACGGACTCCTTATTTTTGTTAACATTCATACGCCTTACAATATGTAATCTTCTTCTTCTTCTTGATGTGCCTATCCGTTACGAATGTTGGCGATCATCATGACAATATGTAATAGATATGTATAATACCAAATACCTGTTTTTGGTAGGTACGTGCTATTCTAAAAATAGCTTTATAAATACAAAAGGATTTCATTACCAAGTTGGATGTATTTTTTCATATGCGAAAATTTACTAATGTATTTTGTTAACATGAGTATGTCTTTTTAAGTTTTATTTAAGAATACGATTAATAAGAACTTTTAGTTAATCCATTGTTTTACGATATCTTGTATATAGCTTCTTTATTATTTTATTTCTGGTTTTATCTGTGTACTACATATAATTCTGGATGGGTTATCTTAAAATAAATATTTAAGTGCAAAAATAGATAGTTTTATGTAAAAATTGGTAGTAGTGCATAAAAGAGGGAAGAATGCTTAATTTATATAAGAAGAATATACCAGTTTACCAATATTACATACTTCTGAATATTTTATCTTCTATTTATCTTTATAATATCTCTATGATATCTTACGTAGCTGTCTGCGTTGTATTGGGTAAGATATAGTATTTGGGACGTACATGATATTCGCGTCTTAACATTTCAATTTGAGTTCTTCCTCTATTAACGGTAATATTATACAAAGGACCATTTATAAGTATTTTGAATAGCTGACAAAATAAAGATATTGCCGACAGTTTTTGTGTTAATTGGAGATTTTGGCAAATTTAAGCAAGGCAACAACTTAGGCTTGTCTGTACACTTTGGTTATCTGCATAGTTTGAATATAGCTTGCTGTTTATCATCCAGAGAAGCAATTATAGTGTTTTTCTTCCAAATTTCGTAATTAAGTTTGTGCTCAGATCCACAATGTTTGGAGTCGTATTATTTTTCGTTATATATACATAAATGGTAGATCCAAACTCAACATTGTTGAAAGGTTCCCTCAGCTGACTGGTTTTTATCTCTTTCACTTTGAGTTTTTCTTTGCTTTCATTGTCAGCAAAGATAGCATTTCCCTATTTATCATGTGGTTTTATCTGCACTAGAAATACGTCACATTTGTATTAAACTCCTAGGTGTATCTAACAAGTTTAAGTAAAGTAAAGTTTTTTTTATCTTTAGATCTGCCCTCAATATTTATAAAATTAATAAGAATAGTTGGTCCTCAAATGGACCGATTTGACAAAATCATATTGAACGGGTGATTAAAGAATTAGATGATTACTTAACTAATCATTACTCAGGGTATGCCCGATTGCGGTGGTCTCATTAGATTAGTACTTCAGTGTTCGTGAAGGCTGCTTTTTTTGACCTCATAAGTAATGGGTTAACTTTAATTTTTCATTAAAAATTTAAATTTTACATATTTACTATTACTTTTTGGATATAATTCGAATCAGATTTGTAAAGTAAAAACTGTTAAAAAAGCTATTAAAGAGTCTCTTTGTGCGGAGTTAATAAGTTTTTATTATCGGTCACTACTCATTTATATTGATAACAAACAGTGTACAAAAGTTAAAGTTACAGTAAAAAACTGAAAACTTCCACAAAATTTATTTTAAACTCTTATCACTACAGCTGTTTCGGCTGATTGCCTTTCTCAAGTGATCTATTTTTGGCATGCGTTTACACTTTATAGTCCTTAATGAAATAGGTTGAGGAGGAGAGAACTGTGTCTCAAGTTGGTCATTTAGAATTATATCTGTGTTTTTTAATTTGTTGATTTCCATAGATTCTAACAAAGATAGCTTAAGGCCTTTATTTTGAATGTGAATGATGTTAAATTCGGTATTAAAAGAATGATTATGATGTAGAAGGTGAAGTGCGTATGTATATCCTAGAAGATTGGTTAAGGTGAACAGGAAGATGTCATAGGGAAATATGGTCTGGGAATACGAAATGAAAGAGGAGATATGTTGGCATCTTTTTGCGTTGAAAAGCAATTAGTAATAATGAACACAATTTTCAAACTTCCAAAACGTCGTCTTTACACCTGGAAATCACCAGCAGATACACCTGAACGAGTTTTTCGTAACCAACGTAACCAACTAGACTTCATATGTATAAATAAGAGATAC